ATATATATTTCACTCATAAAAAGGAATGAAATCTTGCCATTTGTGACAACATAGATAGACCTTAAGAGCATTATGTTAAATGAATTAAGTCAGACAGAGAAAGACAAATACTGTATGATCTCTCTTATATGTGGAATCCAATAAATAAATAAAGCTTATATATACAGAGAACAGATTGGTGGTTGCCAAAAGCAGAGATTGAAGGGTAGGAGAAATGGGTGGACTGTTCTTTGGTTTTTGTTTTAGTGTAAATAAACTGATTTACTTTTTAAAAACAGCCACAACAGCAAAACCTGGGGAGGGAGGGGAGAATCTGATTTTCACAATTATCACATTACAATATGCAAAATGTCCAGTTAAAAAAAATAAATTTATGCCTACCTGATAAGTTGTGAAGAACCAGTTATGCTAGTATCTCTCATTTTAGCACCCAGAGAAAATACATAGTATTTTGTATTATGAATTTGTATAATATACAAGCTATATTGGCATAAATGGATGATTCTACTCAAAGCCAGGGACAGTGGAATCAAAGAGTGAGGCACGCATGCCACCTGTAGCTTTGGTGTGCCAAGGTTTGGAAGTTTTGATTGGCACATGTAAAGGCTCTTAGATTCTCCCTGGTGCAGCAGGAGCCCTCCATACATGTTTTAATGACTATAGAGGAGACAGACCTGTGAAGTGCAAGGAGCTCTGCAGATTGGGGCAGTGATAATGGGGAGAAAAGGGCAGGTACTTCAGGGGCCCCTTTTATTGACCTGCATGTCTTCCCAGAGGAAATGCGTATTGTCCCTGTGCCAGGGGGGAATTGCTCTCACTTCCTGATGGACTCTGGGTGACCAGCTACGGACAAATCCCAGGGCACCTTGTTACACTGTAAGGAACGGGCGCAGCCAGGCTGCTGACACATGAGGAATGCGGAGCGCCTGCCATATTAAGCACTGGCACTTGGAAATCTAAGACTCAAGATTTCATGTCAGGGGCCTCCAACAAGGCCAATCCCTTCTGCGGGCTGCTGCCTCTCTGGCGCCACCGTCTGGTGTCAGCTGGGTGGCACAGGGCCGGCCAAACAGGCCTGGTCTTGGGTCCTTTTTTTTTTTTTAATGAAGATTATTTTTCTTTATTGAGAGGCTTAAGACTCGGGTACACCAGATAAAACCAATTCCTAGGGAGGAAAAAAATCAAAACTTTCTGGACCACAGTAGCACCCAGAGAATACATTTGTGTAATGGAAAAATTCTAGTTTCCCGCAGACCCGGGAGTGGAGCTGAACCTTGGGCCTGCTCAGGATTGACTTATCAAGAAGGCTGACCTTGTCTGAGAAAGAAGCCTAGAAGAAGAGGAAAGAAAGAGGACCCAGAAATGACTCTTTTCCAGATGCTGTTGACCTTCAGAGATGTGGACATCAAATTCTGTCCGAAGGAGCAGGAATTCCTGGGCCCTGCGCAGAGGGCCTTGTACAGGGACATGCTCTCCCTGGGTGAGGGTCTCTCTGCTAGATGTGTGATCAAGGAATTATCACCCAAAGAGGATACTAACAAAGGAGAAATTTTCCAAACCATGATGGAAAGACACAAAAGCGATGACATCAAGGATTTTGATTTCAGGGAAGTCCATCAAAATATGCATGCGTCTGAGAGCCAGTGTGGATAGAACGAAACAAATTACATAGGTGTGACCACACCCATAGCAAAAATCTCACTGGTAGAAGAGATCAACAGCATAATGAACCCTGGAATAACTTCCTTCTAAAGCAAAGTGTTTCTATAAGAAGAAGTACTTATCAATATTATAAACATAAGTCATATATAAGGTATTTGTTAAAACAAAAACATACCATAACCTACGCAGGAAATAAGAATCCTATTTTCTAATCTTATTTAAAAATAGGATTGGATTAAGGTTTCAGTCCAATCTGGCTGAATTTCAGCAGTTCCAAACTGAAGAGAAAATTTATGAATTTTCATAAATTCATAAACTGAGAAGCTTATCAACAATAGTAGCTCTGCTTCACCACTTCAAAGAATTCTTCCTAGTATCAACATCAGCATTTGTAATAAATCTGGGAAATTTTTTTTTTAAAGAAAATAAAAATTCTAGGTGCTTTATTATTGATTTTCTGAGGCAAAATTTGCAATTTGTGGGTCTTGGTGTTGAGGTTCACAAGACAAGCTAGGAAGTCCTCAAACCTTGAGCTGAATTCCGTGAGGAGCTACCTGGCTTTGGAACTGGTTTTTCCTTGTCTGAGCAGTGACAGGAGCACCTCTAGATGGCTTCTTTCTTGGCATGGTGAGCGTCATCCTCCTGAAAGTGGAGAGCCTCGGAGACCATAGCATGTGCAGCAGCTCTGAGTTGCCAGTTTCCAGAAACATTCCCTTAATCTTTCCAGCCAGCTTTGAATGCAATGTTTGGATGCCGAGAGCAAATGTCCCAGCATCTGCTTCTGTTCCTGGGAAAGGGCTGTGGCTCCTGCCCTGGCCATGAACCACAGGATGTGGTGCCTACAGAGGCCCTGTCACAGGAGATGAGGGCTTTGACCCCTGGAGGCATATTTGTATGGTGCAAAGATACTGGTCATGTTGATCCCAGCAAAGCTTTGGAATCTCAAAGTTGATCTCAAGCTCAAGTTCTGGGTTCAAGAGTGTCAGTCCATCTTCAGTAACAGGAAGTTTTGAGGTTTTTTTTTTTTTCACATTTGGTAGGTGTGTATTTCCTGAGACTGAAGAAATTAGAGATATGATGGATTGTTAATGCAAGGTGGTTCTCATGGCAATTTGCCCACAAATGTGTCAGCACCATCCCTATTGGACAGCCTTTGTGCTTTTGATATTGAGAAAGACTCATGGATGATTTAGAAATAATAATAAATGCCAATGTGCAAAAAACACTTCTCAGCATTTAAAAGCGTTTCTGTATTCCTCATCTTATAGTGAAGTGCATAACTGGCAAGAATTTTATAGGGCAGGGTTCAAATTTTAGCCCTGCTGTGTTACCTTGGGTAAATTACTTAACCTCCCTGAGCCTCCATTCCATCATCTATAAAGTTGGGATAAAAATGCCATCCTCAAAATGTTGTGTTGGAGGGATTAAAGTGAGTGCTAAGCTAGATACCTGGCACCTGGTAAGAGCTCAATTAACGTTAGCTAGGACGGTGCTTATTCCCACAACATTGTGAGGCGGGGGCAGGCCTGCTTTACAGATGCAGAAATTAGAGCTCAGAGTGGAGCGACTAATCCACCCCAGGGGCAGAGTCCCCTGGGGCTCACACTCGGATTCTCCAGGCACTGAGTCCAGCGCCCTTTCCTCACACTGCATACAAAGGCCTGGCAAGTCTGCAGACACTCAGCTGAGACTGAGACTTCAGGGCTGGAGAAACAGTCACATCAGAGGGAGCCAACGCAGGGAGTGCAAAATCCACCAGACAGGCGTGAACTGACACCCAAGTTCTGGGTCCTGGTGACCCAGACACAGGGGTGGGGAGATTTCACTCTGTGTCCATGACAGGGAAAGCCAGACAGGTTTGTGGGGCTGAGGTTGCTGGCATTAAAGTACAGACAGCCTGACAAGCAGCCAGTTCAGGCTGACTCAGGGAGCGACACAGTGACATGACAGACCAGAGGCTGGAGACATAGGAAGAACTCAGAGATGAGCAGAACTAGAGGGAAGAAAACTTGACCAACAGGCTCCAGGACTGCATTAACTAAGGATGGCACCTGCCTTTTGAGTGCAGCCGGTGAAAACTCTATGGTACAGTCAGTTAAGATAATCCTTTAGAATTCCTTCTGACAAAAAAAAAAAAAAAAAAAAAGGTTTTTTTTTAAAGTATGTAGGTTTAATAATACTTATTATTTACTCACATAGAGTACCTAATCATTTACACTTACTTTTTCCCTAGGAGATAGATAGACGATAGATAAGGACCTAAACAATATACTGGTTGAATAATATTTTACATTGTGGTTACCAAAAGATTTCACTGTTCACTCAAAATCACTCTTTTCTAAATGAATTTGTTTGATTTTAAAAATTAAGTCTGAGACATCATGTGTGTATTTTACTGTGTTAAAGCAAAACAAAGTTGAAAATTGAGTGATCAGAACACAGATGTAACTTATTCAGAAAATTCAATAAATAAGGCAAAACCAGGGAGTCCTAACTACTTCACAACTCAAGTCGCTAAGACCTTAAGCACTGAATTTCCCCCTCACTCCTANCCCTCATCTGCCTCCAAGTTCAGAGTCAAGTAAAATGACTTGGGAGAAACAGGGTTTGACCCGGGATGCTCTGGATGTCCATGTGATGTCCACGTGCCAGTTCAGTAGAAGTAGCCAGAATCTCTCTCCCAGACAACCTGGAGTCATGGAATCTTACACTAGAAGGTCATCCAGCTCAAGTTTCCTCCAGTGCATGAAACTGCCCTTCCAAAGTCATCTGCAAGTCTCTGTTAGAATACCCCTGGTGACAGGGAGCTCTCTACTCCCATGGCAGCCCCTTACTTATATGGATAGTTCTCAATTTTAGAAAATGTTTTCTTATGTCTGTCAGGATTCCTTCAGTTGCCAGTGACAAAAAAAGCACAATTGAAACTGTCATTAGCAAAAACAATTTTTTTTAAATTAACAAATAAATAAGGAACAAATTGTGTGGTAGAGCACTGAGATGCTGCCCAGATGCCCCTCCAATAAAGGACTTTTAACACTGGCTGCTGAAGAGCAGTCAGCTTTCAACTTTGAATCCCTTCAGGGATTGCTTGCTGCAGAAGCCCTTCCTGGAGCAACCCACAGCCAGTGAGTCATCAATGCCAGAGTATAGATGCTTGGCCGGCTCCACCCAACTCTGATAGTTCTGGAAGTCCATTCTAGCTCCAGGGTGCCCCCTGGGCTCAGTTCAGGCCTGCATTTGGCGTGAGTGCTTCCTCTGCATCTTCTGCTCCCTTCCCCTCCCTTCCTCAAGTGTCCATCCCTAGAACAAGCCTATAAATATCCTGCCCCCTAAACTCCATGTCAGAGTGCACTTTCCAGGGAGCAAAATCGTGATATATTGGGTCACCTAAGCAAAAGGTCTAGGGCCTATCGGATACAGCTGGTTCCAGGGGCACGGGATGAGAGAGTTGGGGCTTGTGTTGACTTCACTTTCAGATACATGTGTCCCTGCAGCCTTAAATCCATTGGGGGGAGGGGGAGCATTTTACTCCACCCAAGTTCAAAATGTACTTCTCATTGAACTCATTTGAGTCACAAGCTGATTCTTGGGCCAGTCGCTATGGCCAGAGAGGATAGACTAATCTGATTATCTTAAGCCAGAGTCATAAGATCACCTGGACAAAGGGATAGCCTGATAAACAGACCATGTGGGCCAAGGGTAAGGGAGTGGCCGTTCCCTGAGCAAAGCGTGGGTTCTGGGACTGGGAGAAAGGAAAGCAGATACCACGCAGGCAAACCCCACATAGGCCTGCCACAATTTTGCCACGAGGAAATCAGTCTCCTTGCTGTTCCCATTCACGGGGCCACGGGACACGAAAGCCTAAGCCCTCTTCCACTTCATGGGCCTTTATAGATTTGAGGAGCTTCATTCTAACCCCCACCTCCAGTCTGCTCCCCTGCAGGTCCCATTTTTTTCCATCTTTTTCTATATAACCTGGCCCTGAGCCCTCTCTCCTCTCGGGACATTTTCTTCTAAGAACAATTTCTCTTTTGTCTTGAGTTTCAAAATGTGCTGCCCAGAATGAAATACAAAGCTCTTAGAAGGGTACAAGATAATCACTTCTCTCCTTCTAAGTATTCTAGTTCTATTAAAAGAGTCCAGAATCAAAATAATGAGCTTTTCTTGGTGGACATAAAAGTTGACTTGTAACAATGTTATTTGCCAAATACCCTATTTGCTAAACACACTTTTTTGCCACATTGCTCTCCCAAGTTCCAGTGCTGCCACTTACCTTCTCATTCCAGTTAGTTGTACAGTTAGATCTTTGGAAAATATGGTTAAAAATAAATCACCATTCTCTATATATTGACTGGATATTAGAGCTCATCTAACTTTGACTGTGTGTAGGTGTATAAAATTATACGAGGGAGAAATAGTCTAGATCAGAATCTTGGGTTCAGGTCCTGAGCTCCAACACTCATGTGCTATACAACCTTTGCGGGTTGCTTAATTGCTCAGTCTCCCTTTTGTCAAACCTAAAATGAGTTTAAAAAAAGCTATCTCATCTGAGTTGTACATATCAAAATCAAATATCCTATAAGCTTTGAAAACCGTGGTATATATGTGTGTCTGTGTGTGTGTGTATAGCATAAAATATTTTACATTATAAATTTTTTTTTACCATATAAGAAATGTTACAATAAAAAAAAAAAAAAAGTCACAATATAAAGTGTTTTTCTTACTGTAGGTCACAGTTTAAAATTTTGAAGAAAAACACTACTTTATACCTTGTGCTCCAAAGCCCCCAGGCCTGTGTGTGTCTCACTTACCACTGGACATACAGACACATGCATACACACCCCCTGAAACAAAAGTTTCATGAAACAAAACTCACTACTATTCCATGTAAGTAAAAAATAACAAAGAAATAGCAAACATGATTTTATGACTCTCAAGCACAACAAAGGAAAAATATCCCAAAATAAACAGTACAAAACCCCCAAATATTG